ATTGAAGGGGACACCAATGAATGGAAAGACATTCCTTGCTTACGAATTGAAAGAATTAACAAATTAACATTAAAATTACCATACTGCCTAAAGCAATTTACAGATTGAGTGCAATCCTTATCAAAATACCAACATCACTTTTCATGGAAATAGAAAATCAATCCTAAAATTTGTTTGAAATAACAACGACAACAAAAGAGCCTGAATAGCCAAATGAATCTTGAGGAAAACAAACAAAGCTAGAGGCATCATGCCATCTGACTTCAAAATATTTTACAAGGCTATAGTAACCAAAACATCATGGTATGGTACAAAAACAGACACACAGACCAATGCAACAGAATAGAGGCTCCAGAAAAATCCATGTATGTATAGAGAACTGATTTTTGACAAAGGCACTGACAACATACACTAGGGAAAGGACACCCTCTTCAATAAATGCTGCTGGGAAATTGAATATTTATATGCAGAAAAATGAAACTGGACCCCTGTCTCTTACCATATACAAAAATCAACTCAAGATGGATTAAAGACTTAAATGTAAGACTTGAAACTATAAAACTATTAGAAGAAAACACAGGGAAAATAGTTCAGGGCATTGGTCTGGGCAAAGATTTTATGGCTAAGGGCTCAAAAGTACAGGCAACAAAGACAAAAATAAATAAATAGGACTATTCTAAACTAAAAAGTTTTGTCATAGCAATGGAAACAATCATCAGAGTGAAGAGACCACCTGTTGAATGGGATAAAATATTTGCAAACTATTCATCCAAGAAAGGACTAATATCCAGAATACAGAAGGAACTCAAATAACTTAACAGTAAAAACACAAATATTCACATTAATAAGTGGGTGAAGGACATGGATAGACATTTTTCAAAAAAAAGGCATACAAATGGTCAAAGGTATATGAAAAGATGCTTAACATCACTAATCATCGGAGAAATGCAAATCGAAATCACAATGAGATATTTCACCCCAGTAAAAATGGCTATTATTAAAAAGACCAAAAAAAAAAAAATCACATGCTGGGAAGAATGTAGACAAAAGGGAACTCATACACTGTTGATGGGAATGAAATTACTACAGCCACTATGGAAAACAGCATGGTGATTTCTCAAAATACTAAAAATAGAACTACCATATGATATAGTAATCCCCTACTGGGTATTTTTTCAAAAAACAGAGGAAATTACTATATCAAAAGATTACCTACACTCGCATGTTTATTGCAGCAATACTCACAGCAAGAAAGATATGGAATCAACCTAAACGTCTATCAACAGATGAAGAATAAAGAAAACATGGTATAGATACACAATGGAATATTATTTGGCCACAAAAACAGAATAAAATCATGCCATTTGCAGCAACATGGGTAGAACTGGAAGTCATTATGTTACATGAAATAAGCCAGGCACAGAAAGACAAATATCTCATGTTTTTATTCAAATGTGGGAGTTCAAAAACGTGATCTCATGTTCATAGAGTAGAATGATAGATATCAGAGCCTGTGAAGTTCATGTGAGTGGCAGGAGGAAATGCAGAAAAGTTGGCAAATGTGTATAAACATATAGTTGTACAGAAGAAATAAGTTCTAATGTTCTGTAACAGACTAGGGTGACTGTAGTTACTAACAATATATTGTATATTTCAAAGTTGCTAGAAGAGAAGACTTGAAATGTACTCAACACATAGAAATGATAAATACTCAAGGTCATGGATACCCCAAATACCCTGACTTTATCATTATACATTCTATACATGCAAAATAACATCACAGGTACCTCATAAATATGTAAAATATTATGTATCAATAAAATGTTGCTTGTTTTATGTTTCACTAAATATTCATGGAAACAGATGTTGTTGCTTGTGGAGAACTATTTCGGAGTCCTTGCTTTGAGGAACCGTCCCTCCTCCATCCCATGTGGTCAGGGTGGGGCAGTCGACCACAGCACTCTGCTCCTCTGCCCCTCCTTCTCCAACCACTGCAGAGGTACACAGGTGGCAAAAGCTGGGTCAGTCTTCATACCCAACCCTCTTGCATCAGTAATTGGTTTAGGAATTGATATGTGTCACAAGTTGTAGAACTAATCAATTTCTTCTATGGGATTGGTAAGTGAATAATGGAGTGCTAAACTACTATGATGAAAGTCTAGGGTTGCTAACAGCCATCTTGGCTCTGTGCGGGGAGAACTCAAACAGAAAGAAGCCAACCAGAGTTACGAGATGGAAACAGACAGATTCTTAATGA